CTCCACATCCGCGACAGTTATCCTCTTCGTTAGTTTTTCGTTTTTTAGTTTTCTCAGCTAAAATTTTTAAAGGAACATCGTCACTGTTATCAGACAGCTTTCGAATAACCTTTTTTTTGTTCACAGTGCACTTTTTAGGTTCTTTCTCCTTTTTAATTTCTTTTTTTAATGTTTTTTCTGCAACACATTTTCTAGCATTGATATGTTCTTCTGAAGTCAATAGTGTACCTACTTGCTTTGCTCTTTTACGAACTTCAATAAGCTTTTGCGGAATAGGAGATATTTCCTGCAAAATCCGCGATGGAGTATAATTTGCAATGTTACCGGATGTACCTTCTTTTGGAGTGCTTGGTTTTGAAACCTTAGATACAGTAGCTGCATTCAATGAGGTTTTCGGTTTTCTGGGAACCATTTCAGGGCTATAGCGAGGGTCTCTATTTGGCTCATTTGAAGTACTTGGAATAAATACGTCATCATTATCTTCCACTGCAGAATTATTTGAGTGTGAATCCTTTCGTGAAATAGGAGTACTCGGCAAGTTGTGTATGGGGTCTTGAATATAAGCGTAGTCTGGGATTGCTTCTGGATTTAAAGGATATACTCCCGTTGCTCTAAAGCCAGATATTGCATTTTCCGCCGATGCTGCTTTTCCCCAAGCTCTGTTAAGTAAGGCTCCGAAAGAAAGTCTTGTTATGCGACGTCCTGAGTTTTGTTCCATCCAAAGTCTACACTGTTCATAAAAGTGAGTTTTTAATGATTTAAATACCGAACGATCTAACGGCTGGAGATAATGAGACGTGTGACTCGGCATTGATATCAAAATAATCTCATTCTGATGAGCAAACTCCAACATTTCCACGGAATTGCAGTGAGTTGAGTGTCCGTCAAGTAAAAGTACAACTTTTCCAGCAGGTTTTCTTGGGACAAAGTGGGTTTTCAACCATTCTAAGAATATTGCTGAAGTTATATACGCCGATTTTTGTGACATGAATAGTTTTGAGCCTGGAGGCAGACCATCTTCAAACTCAGCCTTTTTATTTTTGCCCTTCATAATACATGCCGGTGGCAAAAACGTGCCTTCAGCATTGCAGCAAGCTATGACAGTTATAGTCTCTCCTTTTTCAGTTGATGTTACTGTGTGAACTACTTTGGAACCTTTTTGAGCAAGCACGTGTCCTGGACGACTGTTTAATTGTAGACCTGTCTCATCCATGTTGAAGATGCAATTTGCTGGTAAAATCTCATCGTCTTCCATGAGGACTCTTTCAAGAAGATCAAAATATGCGTTTACCTCCGACCTATTCATAGCGTTGGCTCTAGCCAAGGAGACACCTTCTGACTTTCTTAATTTAATATCCGTGTTTCTTCTTAAAAACATTTTCAACCAGTCATATCCCGCTTTCTCAGTTTCTGTGTTAAATGTATGTTTTAACTTTAACTGTTCCGCGAAGTCGTAAGCTATTTTTCTGACATCATCCATTGTCAGTGGAAAACCTTTGGCTTGCATAGACTTGATATGAGCAGCCAACTTTTTTTCATTTTCTTCCCCAAATAAAGAAGATGGCCCCATGGGCCCCTTTTTGTCATTATTCTTCTTTATTCTCCTTTCCAATGTTTTTCGTGGAATTTTGAACTCATTAGCTGCCGCACGTACGGATAATCTATCATTTTTGACAGCACTTATAGCAGCCTTGAGTGCCTCTTCTGTCCAATTTCCTCTTACGGCTGCAGCCTTTCTTTTGTATGTATTAGGCATCTAAAACAATTATGTAAATAAATAAATTATTTCAAGAAAACATCATTAGTATGCGGTCGGTGTATGATGGCCATATGGCCGTCTTATACCGACTCAAACTGGCCATCTCTCCTTTTCTTCCGGGTGAGATGGCCACACAAAAAAAATAAACAAGTAAAAATGTGATACGCATCATTTTGAGGTTATATCGCCACATTTTTTATGTACTTTGACATAAATACAAAAATAACCATTATTCTAAGAAACTGACATCACAATCATCGAAAACATTAACTCATTAAAAAATATACGCATAAGACAAAACAATTGACAAGGATTTTACTTACTTTTTGGATTTTTTTAGCCAAAATGTTGTTTCACGTTTGCTTACCCACACATCGCGAAGCGAACTAAATGGTAACTGGCGACATCTAGTCTACGTTCAATGAAATATTTCGATTGGCCATCTCTACCGTATGGCCATCTCCCCCGGAATTACCCTAATATTAAAAGATCTCATTATAAAATTGTTGTGTTTGGAATTTTTTATTGCAATTTCTAATGTTTTATTGTGTATGTTAAAATTTTATCGTTGATTTTATGTCTTTATATATTTTACGAGTATTTTGTATATTTAGTATAGAAATAAGCGATTTGGTTGTATGTATATACTGTAAGCTTATATTTTAGGAACAAATAAATATGAAGTTATTATGTTCCCAATTCGCGATATTCTATTGTTAATTATTAAAACCATTAACGAAATAATTAACAACAATTAACGGAATGTAATTGTAACAATATGCGAAAATATAAAGAACATTCCAATATTATCATCTTTAGTTGTGTGTCTAGCTTGCAGATGGAGGATCGCAAGTTCAGAATACGCAGTTATGTTTTTTACGTATTACAGGGTCAATTATTACATTTTTGGTAAAATATTTATAATATTTAATGCGCAGACACGGATTCTCTCTAGTCTCTGAATTTACTTATTACATGTATAGATAGTCGCAAGGCGACACGCTTTAAGATTCAACATGCACCAAATTTTAAGTGCGACCAATTACAAAACAATGATAAGAATGTTTACTTTTGTGCGTGATACGCACACACAGGAAACTAAAAGTTTTTGGCTTTTATTGCTGTTGTAATAACCTATCATAGGTACTTATACTTTTTACTCATAGGTACTTATCTCGACTCATATATGTACTTATCTCGTCTAATGTAGGTACTTATAAGTATCTGTTATAATTGCATAGGAAACACATAAGTACTTACCTGTTTCAAATGCATATATTTTAAAAAAGAAACCACTTTTTTTCTCCCCACATGTAAGTTGATACCATTCGATTGTTGATGTACTTAAATACCTAAGTACCTACATATATGTATATCATTTAATTACTTAACACGTTCAAAGTTATTCCGACGTTTTGAAATGACTGTTACCAAAATGGCTTTCAATTTATATATTTTTTCTTTCTATTTTTATAGAAGAGGGGGCAAACGAGCAGACGGACCACTATTTTGTCATGTAATCATCTTTACTGACAACTGAAAACTTAACTTTCATTAGCCTATAATGTTTAAAAGTTTTGAAATTAAAACTTCGAAAAATTAAACGCTAATAAAAGTAAAAAAATCAATAAAGTACCTGATGTCAAAAACAATGGCGTGACTGAGATTTAAAAAAAAATTTGAATTCAGAATTCAGCTGACTTGTTCATTCAGTGGGGACTTGTTCTGGAGCCGGCCTACAATTTTAATAATGATTAAACATTTATTTCTTATCATTAATTATTATGTTTTCAATTTCATCCTTTTTTATACCTACCTATTTTCGATACAGGCACACTTGTCAAACGAAATATAATACCCACAAAGACTTGACGCCTGGACTTAGGTCTCCTCCAACAAAATAGTCTCACACTTTATAAAGAAATGCAAAATGTTTTTCATCTACCTTTAAATAAGAAATGAGCCTTATAAGAATGCGCACAGTCACCTAAGGAGTAATGGAGAAGGCAATACTCAGTGAATACTCAGGAATGAGGAGATCCGCAGACGAACCAAGATCACTGCCATTGCCTAACTTAAGTCGCAGTGGACGGGGCACATTGTTCGTAGCAAAAAACGGTCGACCGGATCAAAAAGTTCTAGAGTGGCGACCATGTACCAGGTGGTCCGAAGACCCAGTGAAGGTTGCAGGAAGCCGTTAGATGCAGACATCACAGGACCGGTTGTAGTGAATAGCCTTGGGCGAGGCCTATGTCCAGAAGTGAACGACTTTCCGCTGAAATGATGATTTCTTCTCTAAAAATGGGTTGATGAATAGTAACCACTGACCTCTGTTATACCTGTATAATTGGACGCGTTCTTACGGACACTTTTCATACACAGAGGTGGTTTTCCTTGGCTCTACCCTCCATAAGTAAAACACACATAGTGCATTTGGCCGTAATCGGTTTTTTTTTTAACTCCATCTATTGTCATTTTAGGTGATCTCTCGAGTTTAAGTTGGTAATAGCGCCTCTCGCGGAATAGGTATGAACTAAAGTTTTATATTGTGTTCTACGGCTGAAACAAAATATTCAGAGGTACAAACAATAAATAAAATACTGAAAAGCCGTTATAAAACTAGATTTAATTAATTCTTAGAAATCATACACTATCATGATATTCAAAAAATCAAACTATTGTGTGTAGATAGATAAAGTATTTGGTTTTTGCCGATTACTATTGCATTGTGGTTGCAGTAAACTATTGAAAGACTTTCCAAAGTTGTATTTGTCTAATACTAGTATTACAAAAATCTAACTCTTACATTTTATTTATGTGTACTCTTTATTGTGCCATATAGGTCACACTAGCAGAACTAAATGCTACATTCATACATCTTTTATCATACATAAGTCAGGTAAAAATCCAAGCTGTAAAGTACATAACTAAAAACATATTATGCAACAAAGTAATGCATACACCTTAACTTGGAAGCATGAATGCAGTCCTGACTTATTTACACACCATGGACTAACAGTAATCTGCCCCTATCTAAATTGGCATTTTAAAATACATGAGGCAATTGATTATCGCAAGTCTAATTTAATTGAAATGAAATGGTTTCTACTAAAAAGCCTATGAACCAAACCTAGTAAATTCAAAAGCAAACCTAAACATATTTTATAATACTAGCTTCATCAAAACAAAACACTACATAATTAATTGTACTGTAATTAGGACACAAATATCTAGCCAATGTTCAGTGATGTCTTTTATGTGTGCTTGGCCTTGGAGGGTGTTCACGACGACGTTTGCGCCTTGATGGAGTTGCTTCAACAAGGCCAGCATGTGCCTGTGCCGCCAGCAACATGCCTAACTGACCTAAGGCTTCTTCATGCATCTCTTTAGCCATGGTATATACACTATGCTCGCTACTATTATACATTAGAGCATTTGATAACATTAATAAGACATCTCTTTGGAATTGAGCTGTGGTTCGTATGACACCAGAGTCAATATTTTTCCTTATAGTTGTTAAATCCATTGGTCGCTTGACTACCATACTATAACCAGGAGCTTCTTCATCACTAATGGGGCGAAGAAACAATGATGCATATTTGTGTGCACATAACCTGCTGTACACAAGCATAACAGACTTCTTCCACAAGCGATGTTGCCTTTCTGCATCATTTGCACTTGGTGATTCAGGTGCACTAGCTTCAGCTGCACTCTCTGATCCTGAACATGTCCTAGAGTCAGGTTTCTTTTTGCGAGAATAGTCTCTTTTCTTTTTCCCTTCCTTATCTTCTTCTCGACTTAACTCCATAGGTGTGTCATCATCTGTCTCTGTGTGAGTATCATCTACATCTGTCTTTTCTCTATCTTCTTTAACTTCTAAGTTTGGTGTTATCGGAAGTGATTGTGATTCTACTCTCATCATCTCTTTCAGTGGTATTGAATCCTCAGATTCCTCCTCCTTTCTGATATCTTCAACAATCTTTTGTTCACTTATATCTACAACTTCCCCCTTTTCCATCATTTCTAACTTTTGTTCTATGCTATCAGTATGTGCTGTTTCCGGGAATGATGCCACTTCTTCCTCTGCTGAAATAGGGGGCTCAACAATGACCCTCTCTTGTCTATCTTGATCTTCATCACCATTACGTTCTGGCAATGATGTTTCTTCTTGAGGAGGTACATCTATGTTCTCAACAACTTCTTCAACTTTTTGTGTGTATGTTACTTCCTCTGGTGGTTCTGTTAATTCAGTCTTAACTTCTGATGGTGTTTCATCAGTTGTCACAGTTTGGTCATTTTGTTCTTTCACTTCTGTTGATTCTGCTATGATTTCTTCTTCAATTTTGTTTTGTTCTGGTGGTGGCTCCACTTCCTTTACTTCTTCTTTTATCTTTGGGTTTTCAGGTTGTATAATTTTAATTTCTGTAGTTGGAAATTTTACTTCTGGGAAAGCTATTCTTACTTCAGTTTCTGGAGTAAATTCTTTAGTTATGGCAGCAGGTAGTTGTATGGGCTGCGCAATTGGCTCTTCATCATGTTGTAAAATTTCATCTTTATCAGGTATGGGTTCTTCCTCAATAGTATCAACTGCAACTGCTTGTGGTTCTTCCTTTACAATTTCTTCTTCTATATTTTCTGGTTCACTTACCGCAACTTCTGTAGTTGATGCATCTCCCTCTTCTTCTTTCTTTAAAGTTTTTTCAACAGTCCTATTGTTGGTTTTATGCATTGCTGTAACTGGTGGTATATGTATATCAATATCTCGGAATACATATACATCCTCTGCTTTAATCTCAATTTCATCAATATCCAATGGCTGTACAGGAGCGGGTTGTACTGTAACAGGGGCAGGCAACACTGGTGGTGAAGTGTTAGCTTTTAATTGTTGTTCTATTTGAACCAGTTGACTTTTAATGTGCTCTATCGCAGCATGTTTGCTTTCATGTTGGGTGGTCCCAGACACAGCAGATTTTTCCAACAACATAGATAATGTTGGTGCTGTTACAGAAGGTGATACTGCATCAACTACATTTGCCGGGTGAGAAATGTGCTGAGGAGTAGTTACAACAGGGGATGATTTTAAAAGTGATGTCAATAAGGGTGATGCAGGTGGAGCAGGGGCAGTAGGTGTGATAGGTGAATGTGGGGTTGGAGTTTGTGCTTGTGCAGGTCTCCATGCTCGGTCAGCACGTGCTCTTCTTTCATCTCTCTCTTTCAACCAGGCTGCCCTTCTAGCTGCCTCTCTTTCCCTCGCTCTAGTACGAGCTTCTATGTTAGACCATACTTCTCTGAGACGTTCTTCAGATGTAGCAGGGTTACGAGCTTCTGCAACTTCATTCTTTAACAGCTCATATTGTTGAGTCATCTCAGCTAATGTTTTTTGAATTTCATTGATGCGATCTTGGGTTAATCTCTTTAAAATACTTTCTTGCGGCGTTTCCACCGCGCCTTCTGAACTACGCTTTTTACGTTTTGGAGTTTCCACATGTTCCAATAAGGCGCCATACTGTGCGGCACAACTCTTTTGAGAATACCAATCGGGTGGTCTATTTGGTTCCCCAATAGTTTTCAGAGCCCTGGAGACTGACATCCAATTTTGATCTCCGCTTCGGACAACTGCCGAAGCCAAACATAGCTGTTCTCTAATATTCCATGTGTCCAGGGGCACTCTCTTTAACTGTAATCGCTCCTGAATCGAGCTCATGTTATTTCAACACTTACAAACTAAATGCTTTAATACTATGGCAAAAGAAAGCTAAGAGTTGTATACAAAATTGTGCGTTAATCACTGTAAACCAGCACAACAAAAAACAAAGCCCATATTATGGAAATTAGAGTTGTGTAGCTCCTGAGTGAGTGATATAAAAGATATATATCATTCACGACGATAAAATGTATCACTCACTCACACTAGCTCCGAATATATCAGTAACTCACTACTAGCTCACTAGATCACTAGCTCAACGACGCCTATCTATGTTTCATGAGCGAGTGAGACTAAAGATAAATGAGTGAGATAGATGATGGTTGAGTTCACGCAGGTTTGTTTATGCAAAATGTACATTATTTCTATAGGATCAAAGTTTAATATTACTTAAGCATTAAGCCAAGTACAAGAAAAATTAAATTATGTATGATTTCTATTATACAACCTAAAAAAAGTACAAGAAATAATTTCTTATTTTTAATTATTATGTAAAAGGATGTTAATAATTATGTAATCTTATCAAAATGAATAAAATTGTATTTAAAAAAAATAGGTCAAAAATGTAGTTTCAAAAACTGAATTAATTTTATTTAATATGAAAGTTAATATGAAAATAAAGAAAGGTTTGTATGGCGAGAGAGGCTTAAAGTGAGTGATATACGAGTATACTGAGCTAAACGATCTAGATGAAGAAATGAATTAATAGTGAGACCAATCAATTGAATCGGATCAATGAGCTAGTGAGCTAAATGAGTTAGTGAGCTAAACGAGTTAGTGAGCTAAATGAGCTAGTGAGCTAAACGAGTTAGTGAGCTAAATGAGCTAGTGAGCTAGATGAGTGATATATATCTTTTGAGCGAAATGATATATATCAATCTTTTCAGCTCTGTGATACATTTTGCGCATCACTAATGGAAATTTTACTGACAACTAATGTCAAAAATATGGGCTTGTCACACAGATGCCTTTTTAGGAACTGAATGGCGATTGATCGGTCTTGTAATAAAATGGAAGTCGATTCATATCTACGGATAAAAATGGGGATCAAAATATATTTTTCAAATTCTTTTTGGAAATTATTATGTACCAAAGTACTAATGTGTAAGTAGTAATGTGATCGAGTTATCTAGTTATTACAAGTCATAACAAGTCTGATTCAATTTTGTCGAAACTAACTATGTGATGTTATTATTTACTGTTTCTGTTGAAAAGAATACTTAAAGAGTGAAAATTATAGGATTCTATTTCCATTTTTCACTGATTTTGTACTCTTTGTATTCTCAAGATAGACAGACAGAAAACTGACAATAAATTTACTTTTATTGTAATTTCCTAGTTAAGGTATTTTAGTAATAACGTTTCCTAAGTTTCGTATTTGATTGTTTTACTAAGAAATTAACAAATCTAACTTTAATAATACTATAATGCAAAATGTAATTTTTTTATTAGTTGTAAATGAGTTGTAAGTTAGTATTCTGATTGACAATAATCGTACTGATAACACTGTTTAAAATGTCAAAATATTAGTTTATTCCCGAAAGGCATCTTTTACTCGTAATTCTAATAAAATCAATTGTTTTTATTTTGCAAATATGATTTAAACAGTTAACTGTAAAGTGCTTTCTGCTATCGATAGAACTTTTATTCGCTACTTTTGCTATTGATGATGATTCAGAGTAGGGAAATATCCTGACAGCCAACCCAAAGGGAAACGAAGCTAAATATATTTGTGTACAGTGTTTAAAGACCCAAGATGTTTCCTAAATCATCAACCATCAAGGATATGTTCTTGGAGCAGACTAAGGCGGCACGTGAAGAGCGTGCGTTGGAGAAAAAGCGGGAACAATTTGCTGTGAAAATACAGGCTGTTGTTAGAGGGTGGCTGGCAAGGCAGAGATTTATCAAACGTGTACTGTGAGTACCAATGTCCTCCTTACTCTGGTTTTGTAAATGTTTTTTTGCTCTACAATTTGTTTAAAAGATTTGCATTTTAAGACATTAGAGTTGGGGCATTCTTGGCTTAGAAGAGGACCATTGTCTCATAAAAATGTAACCATTGATCAATGTATTTCTTGAACATACATTTTCGGAGAACAAAATTGTATCAATAACATATTTTTGACGTGGGGTTTTCATTTTTGACATAGAATGCTTGGCATCTTTTTGCAGTTGCTTTCGACAAGTGATAAGCTGTTTTCCTACCTTATACCACAATTTGCAATAAGTCTAGGTATTTTTAAATTTCATATTAGAAATTTTTAATGGATTTGAATCTGAATAACATATGACAATAAATTTTCATATGTTATTTTCACTATCAAAATGCCACTTTTATGTGAAGAATTTAGTAAGGGTAAGAAAAACGGCCTTGTTATTTTTATATAATTTTTAGTAAATTTAACAAATACTTTAATGATAAAATTATATGTTACATTTTTTAATTGTATTTATGCTTTGTCTACACTGCTGTTAAAAAAGCCTTTAATTTTTAATGTTCTAACAATCTGTCCTGGTTTTGCATGGGTGCAATGTATGTACCTATGCATCTTTATATGCAATATTTATAGAACCACTCCGCTCCTGCTGACGACAGCCAACTGGGAAGTGTGTATGGCCCATATTGTCCATTTTTGCATTCTAAGTCTCTGATATCTTTTAAGATATTCAATTTAATCATATGCTGTAAATAAAAATTTTGATCTACATTAAATTCACAATGTATCTGACATTTGTTTGGATAAAGAATTATACTGTATTGTTCAAAATAGCTTCTTACATAATCCATTCTTTTTTTATAATATGTCAAAGACAAAAATGGTTGCTATTTATTATCCTTAGGAGATAGATATATACCATCACGGACGACAGATATTGTGATCTATCTTAAAAGGTTTAGCCAGCGTTTGCAATGTAAGCGCACTAAAACATGTTCAACGACTTCACATTTACAATGTTGCAAATGTTTTTTTTCTAATATAAAGATATATTAACACAAAAATTGTGAAGAACATAATTACTGTATTTAAACAGAAAGCCTTAACACTGAAATGTTATAGGCTTAAATTAAACTATTCCATAACTTTTCCAGGAATGATTTTGATGAGCTACTCCCAGATACAAAATCTCTGCCTGCACAAGATGAAGTTTCACAGCCAATAGAACTGATTCCAGCACTAAGTGTCTACCGTGTCACTTGCAGGCTCTTCCTTGTATTTAAACAACAGAGAGACAAAAAAAGATTTGAAATACTATGCAAGTACATTGTCCAAAGCTTGCACTCAGAGTCTGTTAAATTGTCTTATGTTGGAGTATTCTTAAACAAAGAGTACAGGTAAGCAGTTTAATGTAAACTTAAATTGAAATATGTATTTACATATACATTACATGTAATACCATTTACAAATTTATACTAATATAGATAATCTGAAAGCTGCAGAATTTGTTTGGTTGAGCGTGCTAATCTCAGGCACTACTGGTTCGAATAGAAACTTTTTTTTTTGTGTCGGATAGTACATTGGGGAGAGGTATTTATTTATATTAAGCACATCAACAGCATAATTACAACATCGCTGGGCGATAACATTTTCATAATTTGAGTTTCTGGTAATTACACAGATAATAGATATGCATGACACTTAGTATATTTCCAATGGAAAGCCTTTTATACAAATGCTAATTAAATACATAAAGATACACACACAAACATAAGACTGCACAGATGGCGTAGTGGTTTAAGCGGTCGCCACGCCGCTTCCTACTGCGCCGAGTGTTGTGGGTTCAAACCCCACATGGGACGACACTTTGTGTGATCCACAAATTGTTGTTCTAAGTCTGGGTGTTCTTTGTGTCCGTTTCTTGTATGTTTGTAAAATCCCCCGCGACACAGGATATATTCCTTAAAAAAAGAGTAAAATTAGAAAGTGTTTTTTTTAAACAAAAGAAGAAAAACAAAACAGAACAGGCACTTTAAGAGTTGAGTTCGGCTATTGAAAGTGGTATTTCAAATGTACATTAGTGATGCATTACACCTGTATTAATCCTAAATTGAAAGTCGTATATCAATTGTGCATCTATTGAGCCCTTTATAATTTTGTATAGTGTAAATAAGTCAGAATCGTCGTCTTGCTTCTAAATATAACATGCAAAAAAGATTTAACCTGTCACTGTATTGTGGAACAGTTTTACGGATTTCGTTTTTTATGCACTATAGTGTTACCGTTATGTGTTGCATAATAGGGGACCCTATAGTGGAACAATAGGTACTCCAAATACCTCCTTACTAAGGCGTTGTAGAGTAATATAATACTGCTGTTGTCTCGAAAAGGCTTGGACATGGTGATTATGATACCAAGCATCTTTTTAGCTTTATTTACTAATGTGTGATCACGAAACGTTAGTGACGAGTCAAAAAGCACTCCTAAGTCACGCCACGTATAATGGTAGTAACTCTGCTCAAGTATAGATAGTTCAACTCAGTGGTGCGCGCGGCCCTATGTGTGCGTGGGCTTGTAAATATACAACTTTCATTCGTGTGGCAGTCGTCGTCCGACTGCCGCATCACTGCCGCGCGCACAACTGAGTTGAACTATCTATAAACCTTTTCTATGTGATATTAAAATTTAATATAGTTCTTTTTATTAGTAAATGTTACGAACTGGCATTTCTTGACATTGAGAGACATACATTTCATTTATACGAAGCAGTTACATTCTATATATACATGTAAACAAACCAGTTACATTCTAACTTTACTAAGAAGTCATTTATAAATAGGTACTAGAAAAATCAATGGGCTTAATTTTGAACCTTGCTGTTGGATGCCTTATGGGATATTCTATATAACATTATGCTAGAGGCGATCATCATTGAAAAATATTGCAAAAACGGAGAAAACTTGGGGACCGCGATATTTCACCCCGTGTTTTTTCTTTCACAAAATTCTGTGACACATGGAATCTATGTAGGCTCAGCTGAATAGGCACTGCAAAAATTTTGTGATAGGGTACCAATTTTTTTCCGCGCGAGTGAAAAGCTCATGGTGAACGCTGTGCGGACGGCCAGACGTTAGAGCAACTAAACATGCCATATTATGACCTCACTCATTGTTTATAATATTTTTTTGTATTCATTCGCAATGAGTTTATTGACTTACATTAGAACGCAAAAGCAAAAGTTCATTGCTTTAACAATTTAAATATTTCTTTTGGAGATTTTAATTGACCTTAACTTGGTACTAAAGTTACACACAACAGACTTTCGTAAAGAACTTTGTGAAAACAGTCAATATTGTTGAAATTACATTGGTTGGTTCATTACATAACTGAAAATTATAGGCACGACCTTGAGCAGTTTGAACGTACATGTGAATAATTAATAAGTGTGTGTTATGATTGTTTGATAATTATCCTTCATAATGTCGCTGATGACTCTATTTTTTTTCTGATATCTGAACTATTTATACTAAAAAAAATACGTAACAACATAGATATACAATTTGATTATTCATAACACATACAAAGATATCATGTCAAAAGCAAACCCTTAAGTTACTATGAAAAGACCCAAATCAAAAATATTTGAATGGTTCCTTCCTTCTTCAAGATTCCATCATTAGATACTGATGACACAAAACCAACTAGAAAATATACATTGCAAGAAACTCTTCCATATAATTTGTTCTAGCTATTTTCGAGTAATTAGGTTAACTGAGATTTTTTTTTTCATTTAAAGTTGGTTACTAAAAACGTCTATGAGTAATATTTATATTTATTAATATAATAATAACAATAAGGTTACTGTGGGTTAAGCGCAACAGAGTTTATTTCGAGAGCACCGTAGTGCGAGTTTATTTCACTCGCTCCCGACGTCGAGCGAGTTCAGTGTTGCGATTGGTGAGACTTTCAGCGCGGTACAAACGTAACACCGAACGCAGTGTCCGTGACGATCGAGTCGATGTGAAATATACTCACACTAGGCCTTCAGAGCTTATCGGAAACGTTCAAATGTTTCAATTTAACCTATCATCCTAATAAAGTATAAGAAAATTTAGTAATTAATAAAAGATTTCGCTTTTTACATTTCCAGTCTCCAATGGATAGCTCATATCAAAGATTTATTGTATAAATGCTGTCTTTATCTAGAAGAGTTAAAGCTAGAATCACCAATAGATATGCAAAGCATTCTTGTTCACCTCCACACGTTGATAGCGTTTACTGCAACTAACACTTGGGCATTGACGAGGCTAAAAAACTTTGATAAATTAAGAAGCGGCATGCAGCAACTGTGTGCCAATGTTATGGGATCACTGTTCCATAAAGGCTACTATTTAACTTTAAAGGTAAGAGTAAAGTTATTAATTGTGATGTTTTTGTGACATATGGGGCAAACGAGCAGGCTAGGCACTTGATGGTAAGCGACGACCGCTATCTAAGGACACCTCGTGAGTTGCCACCCTTTGAGTGCCCTTTTCCCAGAATTAAGAAGGGAGCGGGTGGTTGGGTCTATCTCGAATTAAAATAAAAAATATATAAAGTTTTAAAACAAATTAAGCAAAATACTGATAACAAGAGTAAGTAAGACGGTTATGCTGTTTGAACGTGTGACTGGATAACTTAAGCCATGTCAATGGAAAGCTAAACCATATATTAAATAATAATTCATAATAATAATTGCTTATAACCCTAAGAACAAGATTCAGGCGTCAGGGCTATAGGTATGTGTTTAGTAATCATTGGTTCTAATATTTCTACTTACTAATAAAGATCTAAAGTAGTATTCTATAAGCTAGGAGAACTTTCTACTTCCTTTGATATTAAAAAGAAATCTTATATCACACTTGTTTCAGTCCCTACTGCTTCGTGGACTGTGTCGTGAGAAGGTGTATCTCAAGAACATATCACTGACGGCGATAGTGACTTTATCACTGCGGCCGCTGGTCTCAGCGCAGTTCTCAGAGAAACTGCTCACCATGTACATTATACAGATACTGTCAGTGCCCTCACTCTTGTACCACATGCAGCAGATATCCCCAGAGGTAATTACATTAAATTAATACAAAGTTTGTACTCTAAAACTTTACACGCTCCTACACTTTTACTAGAGAAGAGTCTGTGGAGGAACGGGTGTCATGTCCCTCCAACAAGGGAGGATCCTTCGACCAGGCGAGGTGATTATGCCTGGCGGGCCGCGGCCCAACGGTTGATATTGGGAAGTTTTATAGATGATAATCGGCAAGAGAATTCTTTATATCGCGATACAGGATTAGCAATTCTCATTTAGTAGTTACTCCGTAGTTCGGTGTGTTTTCGTTAGATGGTACTGTAGTATGTTTATGTTTCTTCGTATATGGGAGTCGCCATAAGTCAGTAGAGTAAATTGTAGTTGGCACAGGAATAAAATGTGTTATAATAGTTATGAATACAATGTACAAACCACGATTTTAACGTATTTACGATAGAAACTTTTATTAGTGGTATTCATTTTTATTAAAGTCCTCTGCGATACAATATATATCCCTAGTGCGTTTGTTGTACTTTTTTTTATCAAAGATATAATGTTGTACTTACCCATTGTGTATTCGTCAAATATACACGTGATTAAAACCATATATCTTACTTTACACTATCATAAATGCGAATCAATGGATGTTTGAAACTCAATCACGCCAGAATGGCTGAACTATCGAACGAAAGAACCATGAAATTTGGTAAAGAAATATATTTCTCTCTATTTAAATCCATATGTTGTCTCTTTCAGTCTATATTGTCGTTCCGGTCATTCTCAATGTTCGACAAATGCCTCGACTTCTTGAGCGCGGACCAGAATATGCGCATAGTGTTCAACACGTTGGAGGGGAACTATGCGCTGTGCTTGCTCGCCAACTTGATACAGTTGGCGCACTCCGAGAGGGATTACGCACAGCCAGACTCCTATCATCCTACATTTGTAGTAAGAAAAATACATTTTGACGAACATCATGACTCAGAGACTACTTAGACAAAATGCTTTTGAGGCTAAAAAAAGTTTTTTAGTTATTAATTTTCTTACGGTTAATTTTCTGCGTCGCTTGCCAAGATATTACGCTATTATAAGTTTCCTAAAATAATTATAGAAATAATGTTATATCATTTATTAAATTAAATAGAAAATGTATACTTAATCCTTCTGAAATGCAATTTTGATGGTGCATTTCAAAAGAGACTTTATATAAATATTTTTCTGTTTACAGCTCGTAGTCACACGATTCTTAGACTCCTGCCAGCAATATGTAGTATGCAAGAAAGGCAACTTAAGCAATTGGCACCCCATTTTGGGATGGTTCTCTCAAAGCTTCGATGTCTACCTGCCCCCAGCCATGGGGAACCTTCGCAATCAGTTATCGTTACTATGGGGTGCCCCTATGTTGAAGAAGTTGCTTGCTATGCCATTGAAAGAAATGATAGACGCGGGAGTAACTGGTGAGGAAGGGGCGGGACCCTCGCAGCCTTCTACTCCAGTTCAGAGTAATAATCCTGCTTCTATAATTAGGAGGGCAATTGAGGCTAGAACTAGCAGGTATGGGTTTTTGACATAATTATTTTAAAACAAATAAAACTTCAATAGGAAAATATTTGTACTTAAAATTGGGTAATATTAATAATAATTACCATTAATGATTAATTCCTTTGTATTTGTTATCCCTCATTCTGTAATATAAAATTTAAAAGTTGAATGAATGTACATACAATTAGACCTTTTATTTTCTTCTAATTTTAAGTACATGTAAATTATATGCCCAATACGTACTTAACTTATGTCAAGCAACTGTTCTTGTGTTCACAGATCAAATTCAAGCAAAAATTACAGAAAGCTCGGCTCTCCGGACAGTACCAAGACTGCACTAATATGTTCTATGTACCACACAGCTTTACAGACTATGACGCAAGTTAAACTTGATATACTAACAGGTAAGTGATGGAGTCACTACGAATCTGGATTTATGTCAGTAGCGAGGGTTAGCTGAACTGCAAGGTTTTTAAAAAATGTTTTCTTAGTTTATTGGTACGTTTCTTGGGCTTTATGTCTTAGGCTAATAATATATATCTTACAAAATAAAATTTGATATCAAGTTTGATGCAAATCACACCGAAGCATTTGACCATGACTAGAGGGCCTAGTGTGAGTTTATTACACATCAACTCGCTTTCGACGCCTTGCGATTGGTTAAGAGTTCAGTGCGGGCCCGTGACGATCGAGTTAATGTTAAAACAACTTACACTGAGCCCCCTGGTTTCTAAATATTTTTAGTAACATTATCGACGTTAAAGCCCTTATAAATTATTATACAGCAGTAAAAACTATTATCCTCTATCTAACCGATCGTCTTCAATGGTTTAATTATTCCATTCAGCCCTGCAGTCAAAGACCTGGGCTTACTTATCGTCTCAACCCTCGATTGGCTAGCAAAAGTTACCAGTGTGAGCCAGAAAATAACTGGCAATTTGCGAACATTATATCTTCTCAAGAATTTCCTCCTAAAACTACACTCATGCAGTCCTTAATAATCCCAATAATTGAGTATGGTGATGTATGTTATTTTGACCTGAATGCAGACCTTAACAAGCTAGACCGTCTTAATAAATGCATTCGATACATTTTCAATCTTCGGAAGAATGACCGTGTCTGCTTTCTCCGTGACCGCTCGAAGTCAGGATGTCCACAAACCGCTTTATTTTCAAAAAGAGTACATGATCTCTTTCTTAACGAAATGGCAGAACTATCTAATCAATAATATACCTCATATTCCGGTATTCATAATACTATGAATACCGGAATATGAGGTATATTATTGATTGATTGACGCATACGCGTATATAATATGTCTATGTATCTATATAAATATAATTGAATATATATGTATGTGTATGATTGTGTGTATTTATGATGTGTTGTATATGTGTATGTATAAGTTTATGTATGTAGCGAACCGTTACATATATTTTCGTTGATTACTTAATATATTAAGAGGTAACCTCTGTGCACCTACCTTACAAGATTGATGGAAGGTTGACTGGAAGAGAATGTCCTGGGCATTAAGTCTGCCGAAGTTCAAAAATGCATAAAGTTAAAAAAATAAAAAGTATAAAACAATTTCTTATCTATTTTAGGGTTGTGTAATCAGGATGAAATTCTATACTCCTTGTGGCAATTCTTATGCACATTGGGACCAAATTGTGGGTTGAAATCCTTCCTTGATCTCTTAGCTGTTAATACGAAGTCGTCTGCGCCGGAGTTTCAAATGTTAATACTTTTCGCCGACTGTATGACGCATTATGTTACGTAAGTATTTTCATACATATATACATACACTCACCCATATATCTATGAGTCAGAGCTCATTAACCAAACAGATTATTAAGTTAAAATTAAATTCGATAAATAATTATGGGCTATGAAGTTCTCAAGAACACTTCCTGTGAGTTGGCTAAAGGCGTGAGGTATAGTAATTCTTATTGGGAAATAATAATCAGAGTGTAAACTTATATAAAGTGATGTACAATGTTTTGTATACGCTTCATAATTTTACCAATTTTCATTAGTGTTTAAAACAAAAAGTAAATCAAAGAAAATAAAGTTATCAGCACCGTCTTTAAGCATCGATCCATCTATCTGTCTATTTGTATATAGCAAAGTTTAATGTGTGTTCCCCTTTTAGGATATTAGATGATATGGAAATGTATGAGCAACAGAATCCGTTCAAGTTACAAGACTTTGTGAACATGTCGCTTTTTCTGAACATGTTCGTTTATAAATCTATTATGGGGCAGTTGTTTGGTAAGTTTTGTTATTATTTTCTAAACGACATAAACTTTAAAGTAGAATGTTGTTTGTCAGTATGTCAAGCAAAATTCTAGTAAGACTACATACTCTGCTATTCTTCACGCTTGACTGGCCTGTTGGTCTAGTGGGTAGTTACCCTTTCTGCTATGACAGAGGTCATGGGTTTGATGTGACCCAGGTCAAAGATTGTGTGATGAGCACAGTCATTGTTTATCAGCAGTTTGGTTGCCATAGAACTGGCTCTGCCTGATTTGGAATCAGACGGCCGTGTGTGAGATGTGTGTAGATATTATTGTTATATCTAAGTTACCGGGGTAAATTATGTCAACGGGTGTAAATTATGTAAAAAAAAACTTATGTAAATTGTATAAAAATATAAATAGACATTATTTGGTTGTAGATCTGAAAACGATCCAAAGTAATGAGTTATTCAGTTCCCTGCATACGTTGCTGTTGGTGTTGTACCGGCGCGACTGTCGGCGCTCGTACACGCCCGCCAACCACTGGCTCGTCAAGGAGATACGAGAGGGACAGTTCATTCACGACTTGGAGAAGGGCAAGAAACCGCAACAAGTAAGTCTCTATAACTTTTGTTTATATTTTGTAAATCGTCTGAAAATAACGCGCCGAGTATATTTTATAAAGCTTTGTCAAAGCTTACAAAACTCTCTGTATATTTAAATAGTAACTTAAAACGTTTAATAATATTAGTAACTTAACGAAGGAATGTTAATATATTGCACTTAAGGAAATTTAATTTAGTGTTTCATAAACGTAATACAATAAAATAATGTAAAAGATCTGTAAAAAAAACCATACGCATACGGTTTTTTTAAGTGCAAACTTCTTTAGGGACGTTGGGTATTTTTGAACAACAAACAAAAGAATGTATTTTTGAGTTGGGATAAAATCATTGAACTCGCAACACTGTTGCCCTTACCGACACCTCTGTATATAAGTATCTACATATGTTGGCCCCGTTTACACGAGAGTTGAGTTTGAGTTGAAATACATAGATATATATGCATGTCGGAACTTTTCGAATCGAAAAAAAAAAATTAAAACAAACCTGTTAAAATCAAAAAAATATATATTCAAGTTTTCACTTCTGTCGGCACTCCCGGAGTGACACTGTTTATTCCTCGGATATTCGCCGCTACGGATTTCTAACACATCAATGTTACAGCTCATACATATAAGATTATCAAACATAAATATTACTGTGCAGGTGTTGCTGCAAAAAACGCCGCATATAATAGCGCACGGAGAACGAGTTAGATTGTTCAGGCGCGCCGTCGCCGACGAAAAGGTAACAATACTGTGGCCATTTATAAGTCAAATTAAATTTCATTTATCGTACTGCGGTGCGTGAATATTAGTTCCTATACTACGGCACGTTTTTTTTTAAATGACGCTGACTTAAGTTTTTGTGTATGGGGATGTGCATCACATATTGAATGGGGGAGGGGTGCGGGGCGCAGGTGGTGCTGGGGCTGACGGAGCGCGCGTGCGGCGGGCGCTCGACGCTGGTGACGGTGCGGCGCGCGCGCCTGGTGGAGGACGGCTACCGCCAGCTCGCCGCGCTGCCCAGCCGCGCGCTCAAGGGCGTCGTGCGCGTGCGCTTCATCAACGAGCAGGGGCTCGACGAGGCGGGCATCGACCAGGACGGGGTCTTCAAAGGTATCACCGCCTCTTTTGCCACCTACACCACGAATAAAAGATATTTAAACATAATTTCATACTTTTTCTCATCTAAAATTGAAGGCATAAAATATCATTTTTATTACTGTGTTTTAAGTCAACACTAAATCTCCTGAACAACTCTTAATCAAAAAATATTGTATCGGATTAGAAATAGAAAATCACATGATATCCCATTGTTTTCTATAAATTCAAAAAGGAAAATCATTTTATTATAAAAATTCGTTTAGAGACTATACTAAAAATATTTTATTGACAGAAATTGGTAAAGTAAGTAATTGGTAAGTAAAGTTATTATATTATAAAATATCTTGAAAAGCAGCATTCGTTATTATTAGAAATTATAAAAATGATTTACCTGGAATGTTTTCAATGAATATGTACGAACGTAGGATCGAAATATTACAAATATATTAATATAATTGTTGTCAGAATTCCTTGAGGAAACAATAAAGCGAGTATTCGACCCATCATTGAACTTGTTCCGAGTGACGAGCGAGGAGCGTCTGTATCCCTCGCCAACGTCGTGTCTACAAGAAAACCATCTCCAACTGTTCGAGTTTATTGGACGAATGTTGGGCAAAGCCGTGTATGAGGTAGGAATAGATGCACTCTTTAAATACCTACTGAGTAGTAAAACCTACAGACGCAATCGTTTACTCAACTGTAGTGAAAAAGAATTAAAAAAAAAAACAATTATTCCTCTGGGACAGTTTATTTGTTGATGTTAGATGCTCTGCTCTTTTCCTGTACAAAATATGTAAAATTTTATGATATAGTGTATGAAAGTGAAACAAATATAGTAATAGTTATGATTACGATATACGGAAAATTTTACATGAGTATTTCTGTCTTACTACTGACTGTAACTAGTAATACATCCTTGAAATACACACGTCAATAAAACATATTTTTCATAATTTTATGGTTAACTACAATAAATTTACAAGGAATTTAAAGTGCCTTAATTATATTTCTATATATTGTCCACTTTCTTTCACTTTTCACACACACACACACACATTTCAAACTACAGAGTAGCAAATTCCACTAAGTAATTAAAGCCCAACTGCTTTTGCAATTGATCTAATGCATAATATTTAGATATATACTAGCTGAGACCCGCGGTGTTACCCGCGTTTGTTGTTATAACCGCGGGCAACGCCGCTCGACGAAGCTAGTCTAAAAAAAGTAGCCTAAGTTACTCCTTATGTCATCAGCTATCTGCCAGTGAAAGTCCCGTCGAAATCGGTCCAGCCGTTGCAAAGATTACCCGGAACAAACGGACAGACAGACAGACAAAAATTGAAAAAAAGTTATTTTGGCATATGTACCGTGTAAACATACATATGCATTTAGTAAAAAACGGTTATTTTAATATTACAAACAGACACTCCAATTTAATTTATTTGTATAGATGTATGTAATATATTGTTATAGGGTATAGTAGTAGACGTACCATTTGCGTCATTCTTCCTATCTCAAGTGTTGGGCCAGACGCAGCAAGCTTTATACAGCTGGATCGATGAGCTACCCTCACTAGACAGAGATCTGTATAGAAGTCTTACTTATATTAAACACTTTCAAGTAAGTACCAAAAATATTATTATAAATCCCTATAAGTTATATTTGTGAGGTACAGGGTACAAGGAGCATTATGTAAAGGATTTGGCGACACGTATGTTGAAGGTAAATGTTGAAACTTTTGTAAACAGTGAAACTTGGTGATAAAAATTTTGCCGTGGGAGACCTATTTTGGCCCTCAACTGTCACTTTACAGATTGTGAAAGATCGACAGATGTACTGTACATATGTGTTGTTTAATAAAAAACCACTTGATACAAAGAGTGTTCTGCAGTTCTTCGACGTACAAACTTTAAACTTCATATTTTACGTTCCCCCGTTCGCGAAGTGTGCCTGAAAACCTTTTGTACCTCACAAGGAAGTCTCTTCACGCATTAATAAGTGTATAAGTAGAAAACAGTTTTCGGAGTTTTCATTAACCATATTATTTGTAACTTATTAACTGCATAGTAGTGAAGTGTCATGTATTTTATACACGGTCAGTTAAAAAAAAAAACAGGCTGTTGATTATGACAGTCTTCAAACTCGTGTGTGAGCTTATTTAGGTACATGCTACTGACACTGCATTTGTTTCGTTACATTAATTCCCCCAGCCCTCGTGCTTTAGGAAAGTAGTAAAAACAGTCGAGAATTTTCTCTGAATATATCATCCTTTATTAGTCCACTGCTGGACACAGTCCTCTTCTTAGAAAGGAGGTTTTAGTTGGTTGTCCAGACGGTTGGGTTGTCCAGACGGGTTGGTATAGTGTTTGTGTCAAGTTTTCCTTCTCTTTGGAGTGTTGTTTGTGCTACGAAGTTTGCTCCCTTAGTCGGCTATTACGACACCCATGGGATGAATAGGGGTGGAGACACTCCGTATTCTTAAGCGTCACCACATTATTAAAACTTCAAAACAAAAAATACAATATAAAAAATAAATGATGCTGCATATAGATATGATGTGTTTATTTGCTTCATGTTCAGCATATTCTAATTTGTTTTTAGGGTGATATATCGTCATTGGAACTAACATTTTCTGTAGATGAAGAGAGGTTGGGAGAAATAGTAACCCACGAACTCGTACCCGGTGGTAAAGCTGTGCCAGTCACCAATGAAAACAAGTAAGTAAATATATATTTCCATTTCACAATCTGTACATGTTACTTATTAAGCAGTGATCATACTAATTTGGCAAATAAATACACTGGTCGTGTGATTTATGGTTCTCAAGTTTCTGGAAGCTGGAACTTTTTAATACTTATTTTAATGAACGCGTAAAGCTTAACTGCCATTTTTGAAGTTTACTCCTTAAGAATCGACTTTCATATAAGGTACCCGGTATGAAAAAAATATGACAAGTAAAATTTAGTGATCGAATGACCTCTGTACGGTTTTGTGCGCAACCTATCGTGGGCAAATTTCACATGTGTGTGTATACCTTCTATACTTGTATGCAGCCGAATCGTTCTTAACGAGTAAACTCCAGTCGTGCGTCGGAACTGACACACACTTTTGTGATGTTTACGGTGCACCTAGTTGGGCGGGTATGAGTAGAATTTTGGTTAGGGCTTACCTAAGTCTAACTAACCTACGAAAATGTTCATGTCATCATCATCACAATGTCAGATGACATGATATCTAGTGTGTTTGTGATTTTCTTAAAGTTTTTCTCGCTGCCTATATGTTTATGATTAATACTAATACACGGTAAATACATTTAATTATATTTCTAGAATCAACTACATCCATCTAATGGCTCACTTCAGAATGCACACACAGATCAAAGACCAAACCAATGCTTTTATCAAAGGATTTAGAACGATCATAAACCCTGAATGGTTGTCTCTATTTTCTACCCCAGAGGTAAGTAATGCTTTAAATATTTTTCTCAGTTGACATTTCTTAGGGCTAATCTTTATATTTTTATTTATTTTTAATTCTTAGGGCAGTTGACATTTCTAAATTCGCGTGTTTGAAAATTAATTATTTATGCATAAAAATAAAATTGAAGAATGAGATCTAGGATATATATTGTATATGATTTACATTTTGTTGTCATTAGATTCTTATATAAGGCTTAATATTATACTAAAGGTAACATATATATGCTTGTAACCTTAATACTAAACACAAGTGAACAATCTGCCCCAACTGTTCAGTCGGAGCATACACCGTCGATAAGGACCTTAATGCTTCGGTCTGCAAAGAAACTGGTGACCCAGTTACATAATTTCTCGGGAAGCCCATAGGAAGGGAGCTTCGAGAGAAGCGCATTATGCCAGACCCCATCGAATTCCTTCGCTATGTCCAAGCTAACTGCAGAAGTTTTAAGAATTATTTGTATGTAGTATATTTTTTCAAACACGCAAAAAATATTTATTACTAACTGTACCAAGCTTTGGAGTAAACGAAATTTGGCAAACGAAATACTTGACGAAAAGTGTAATTTGATGAAAAGAGAATTTGATAGAGCAAGAACTAAACGAAAAGCAAAGTTGACTTGCGATAGACTAGGCAAATAGCCAAATTGACTTATGTAATTAAACTCCAATCAACGATGGTTATACATTAGTTCTGTTTTTTATGATATGGGGGATAAGGGGATGACCAGACGGATCACCTGATGGTAAGTGACTACCGCCGTCCCCAGATACCTGCAACTGCAGAGTCATAAGTGCATTGGCGCCGTTTGAATTCCTCCCCCTAGAATCGGGGTGAGAGGTATTTGGTCGGTCGGTTAAAAGCAACGAAGGAATTGACGCCGTGGTGTCACTCCGGTCCGTATATTTTTGTTTAAATAAAGTTTATATAATTGGTCCAGTTACAACGTTTGATAAGCGGCGACAACGTGCCGCTGGACCTGCGCGACCTGCGGCGCAACACGCAGTACTACGGCGGGTTCCACGACTCGCACCGCGTCGTGTGCTGGCTCTGGGACGTGCTGCAGCGGGACTTCAGCGAAAACGAGCGGGCCATGTTCCTCAAGGTACACTCGCCCTTAATCAGACGCACGAATCACATCCCAAACTGTTAAACTAATCTTCCTACAGAAGTATTGCACTGACATTCTATAAATATCAAGAGGGTTCACATTATATTTATTGTCAACCATAGATAAACCTAACGGTACAGATTGCCTTTCCACAATTAAAAAAAAAAAAAACGATTTGCATCCATACATTCTGCAATGGCCTACAGTTATTGTACTTCACTACTTCATACGATGTCGGGTGTAGAAAAAAAACAAGCCAATTTATTCATACTAATATTCGTCGGTCTGTCTGTCTGTAACCTCTTCACGCTTTAAACGCTGAACCGATTTAGATGAAATTTGACATGGAGATAGTTTGATTCTTGTGGAAGGACATAGGCTATTATGTACCGCGAGTACCGACACATACACGCATATACAAAAATGTACTTGTTTTTCATTTTCCTCACACAATTTCCTTACTTTGATTGAGGCATACATAACATAGAAGTATGTATTGTACAGGAAGTATTTAATGTAAAAATATTATGTTCTTTTCAGTTCGTGACGTCATGCTCGAAACCACCAGTCCTCGGATTTGCGCATCTGAAACCGCAATTTTCAATTCGTTGTGTCGAAGTAGGGGACGATGAAGACACTGGCGATACAATAGGTACGTTTATTGACTTAACAGTTAAAAAAAAAAACAATTTTATCTTTTTTTCTCTTCTCTATTTGAAATTCAAAGTAAAAATTTACTAATACAAATAAGTAAAAGAATTACTTGTTTTAATTGTTACTAAAGTACCTTTTATTATTTTTACTCGATAAGTACCAAGGACAACATCAATAAGTGCACATGTTCAAGTCTCTCATAAAAAATGTAGGATAACAGAATTATTTAATTTCAAATCTTAAAGAAATAGGGAACTTCGCACTTGTGAGTTGTACATATCGTCATAGTCGTATGACGATATGTACACCTCATCTGACATTTATTAAACTTCATAGGGCAGCCATTTCAAATAATTATGTTACTTTTTTGACATAACTTTTTTAATTCTAAATCTGTAATTATGAAAATTAGCATACAAGTCAAAAAAAGGGTTTCTTTTAAATTGCAGTAAAAATAGAAACGAATAATTACACAATTCTCTAGAAAAATCACATGCTTCACTTTACTTTGAGCGCCTATCAAACCCGACGGTTTACCGACTGAATAATTTAAAATCTATTTTTTTTATGTATTTATAATAATTAGATAATGTAGTATCCAAATATGGTAAAAACTGAATTTCGTATTTTTTAAAAACCGATATTGATCATGACGATATGTACTAACCATCGGAAGACGTATCGCCGTATGTAACATATTACATAGCACGCAAACGGGCAGAGGGGATCCATAATCACAGTCACAAAACCAGCTTTACGGTTTTAAAATGTATATTAATAAATTTCTCATGTCTTGTTATAGGAAGTGTAATCCGAGGTTTTTTCACAATCAGGAAGAAGGATCCCTTGAATCGTCTTCCAACATCTTCCACCTGCTTTAATTTACTCAAACTACCAAATTATCAGAAACGAAGTACATTACGCGATAAACTTCGATATGCCGTCAACAGCAACACAGGATTTGAACTCTCATAAGAAAAAGTTGGAAAAACAATTCTACGACTATTACGGGAAGGTCGAATTCTGTTTACTTTTATAATTGTTATCCAACATTTTTACACAAAGATCATGTAAAGGGACGGATAACTTTGATCCTACAATACTATTAAAATATTTTTTGTAAGCTAAATTATGATATAGGTGTTTAAAAACACGTGATTGCCACTTTTATGACCACTGTCAGGTCACAATATTCAAATTGTTATAAGCACTCGTATAAATGTTTCACTCACAAAACTGTTATAATTGGTCGAAGGATAAGGTTAAGCAATATTTTAGTGAAATGGTTTAGAGTCCAAATGTTTACTGTGAATGCGTCTTTATTATTCGTCACTTCAAGATTGTTTTTTTTTCTGTTAACACAACTTTTATGTAAATCCAAAAATGATACACAAAAACGCATTGATTGAATGCGTTTTTGTGTATTATTTTTCGATTTATATAAAAAACAAAATGGACATTAAAAACATACAAATTATGTAGAAAAAGTAAAACGTGTAAGTAAATTTAAAAAAAAGTGTGGTGCCTGATTGGAGTAAGTGAGTGTAAATAAGAAAAGAGCGCCACAAAAGGTACTTTTTAGTTCAGACCTAAGATTTTTTACATGTAATTTGTTTTTAATGTTAAACCATTTCGTTTAGTTATACCTTCGGATTCGTCGCATATATCTTTATCTGCGGATATATATACAACAGCGTTTGATTCATACTTCAGCTAAAAAAATGGTGAAAGTTACAAAACATCATAAATTATTAATCATCGTAGCAAAAACAATATAAGTAAATTATGACATCAAAAGATTTACGGAATCTGTAAATCAATTATGGACTTACTATTTTTGATTCTTGGCAACCCAAAGTAAAATTGTCAGGAGCGAATAGTTAACAAGTAAACTGTAGGTATTTTTTTAATTATAACCTTCGAAACCAAATTTAGTTAAAGATGATAATGTCAATAGGTAAATTCTCTCCTGTAAGGATTTCCTCAATTTATAATTTTGTAATTGTTGCAGCAAAAATAGCACGTAATGCTGCAACTAGAAGTGTATGTTGAAGTCGATCTCATTGTCCGACAGTACGTAACGAAGCACAGGCTAATGATAACTTGTTTTAACACATTGAAAAGCGATTCAACGAAAGCTGTGGATCCAAATCAAACCCACTTCGTATCACATAAGACTTTTGAATTAGGTTTTAAAATAAAACTGTTAAACTTTAAGCTTTATACACTATAAAAAGTACACTTCATAAATAAATATGGATATGCATATAATGTAGTACGGTCTCGGGTACTAAAAGTAAATAATGCATGTTACTTCTTTGTCGTGTGGAAAGCTTTATCAGTAAAACAAGGTAAGTAAAACCACTGTTTAGTTCTCCGGCTCAGATATGTTGTTAAAAGCAATTTATTGTTGAAGTCTTAATCATTATTTGAAAATAATTAAGTGATTGACAATACACATGGAGATCCTACGGTCTATTCTGGCTTTTTTGCCATGATCTCAGAAACAAGGTCGTTCTTACAGCTGTGTCAATAACAAGACAAGCTGTACTGAAATTTGGAGTCTGTATATTGTATCTTACGAATTATGTTGTAATATTATTTATATTTAAGGATTTAGCGTGTGTTATACGTGTGGCCAGTAACTTAATGCACTATCACATTTATAAATGAGCACGGTTTTTTTTATTAATTGTAATTAAAATACTATATACCAAAAATGTAGGAATTTAAACTTAGATACTCAAGATATCCTATTAACATGGACTCGGAAGACAGTGATGCTTGAAATATCGTTTGTCCAATTAACTGCACGGATGACGTAGTAGTTTAAGCTGACACCTCCTCTTTTCCTACTGAACTGAGTGTTGAAGGGTCAACAAGAAACAAATAGAATAAATAACTAATCATAGCAATTGAGGCAATCAACTAAAGGTTTAAGCACAACAACTCAGCTTTCAGACTTGGTATTTTGTAAGTTATATGAAAGTTACATTTCCCCAGCAGTTTCCTCGCGTTAGGAAATTAAGTATGCAGTATTCAAGGTCGCAGGACATTATGTGGGTGCAAATTACTTCTACTACGTTTTTTTATACCTGGCAACGTATATAAAATTTTCTTGGGAATCGGTACGGCGTAACAACCAAATTTTGAAACAAAAAGTTTTGTAAATGATATTTATTAAATGCATACACAATTTTAATCAGGTGTGTACTTTGGGAAAGCCCCACTAGTTTTGGATCTCTTTCAAGGAGTAAAGTAACCTTGGATTGGCGACGTTACAACGGTTCTTTTGTTTTGTTACATAAACTGAAGAATGGAATACGTGTGTTTGAAAAACTATGAGATCCTGAATCAGAGATACGAATTATTTATAATAATAAGATACAACATCTACCATTGTGGTTGCATTGATGAGAAGTGAGGAAGAAAACTAACACGAAAAAAGGATAAAAACCATCTTAGAGGCTGTTTGTATATCGTGTCAAACGTGTATTTGAGCTCAATCGATACAGAACTTTTTGAGCAAACTTACTTAACATTCATATATATGTACAGATCACGTAAAATAGCACTTTCATAACATTCAGCTATAGTCGTTCGAATTAATCTGATTTCGGAAATACTTGTGAACAGTGTTTATCATAGTTTAGAGGGTCAACTCTAGTCAAAAAAAGTTATTTTTTTATTTTGTATGTATTACCTGTATTTCTACAGATAAATTAACAGTGAAGCGGTTAATTGTTTCATTAGTAGTATTGACCTTCTGAAATATCATATCCTGATCATCAGATCGGTCTACGACACAGTAGGGTAATTGACATTAAATAGAATGGTGTTTCACACGTTTTTTTTTAATTGAACATGATCGAACAGAATTGTATTGAAAAACACATAGCATATCATTTCATTTCAATATTCTGAATTCACCAGTACTAATAAAATGTCAAATGCTCTATCTGACTAGTAAGACTCGAAAATGTCGTAATATCAAGATTGCGGTGATAGTCGAAACACGTTACTGCAATTAGCTACACAATATTTAAATGTGAATTTATGTATCGAGTCTATAAATAACCCAATCCTGTCCAAGTAATTTGTAAGTGTATATAGACAATAACACGTAATTTATTGTATATACTAATACTAATTTTATATTTATTCGCCTATTTATGTACAGACCAATTCTACGGCATTTTTTTTTCTCTGTGTAAACGTTAAGAAATTAAAAGGTTAAAGGTTTTATTTTTAAATTACAGTACATATTTTTGTTATAGTTAAGACACAAGGTAAAAGTGCCATCTTTATTCGAATTTAATTATTATTTAGTACTGTAAACATTGTTTAATTTTCGATGTAACTTTTATTTTGTGTCAATAATTGTCACTTTTGCACCATCATATTAAATTTTATGTCACTAGTCTTACTAAGATTATCAATAATTATATCTACACTGCAATATTATCTTAGTTTTGTGTACTGTTTTGTAACGTTCATTCGTTTTAGAAGAAAATGCCGGCGTACGGCACAATCCGAAAACGGCTAACATTTTTTTTAAATCGAATGAACTATTAATTATCTGTCTGTAGTCTATGTAAAAAAAATATTTTATCGATAAACTATATGTCGTTGGTATTTGTGTGCAATTACTTTTAAATCATTTTAAAGGGTCAACTGCAAAAATGTTGAAGCGAAATGTTACCCTTGCCAGAGTGCTTTTAAATATTACATTTGATAACATAATACTGCCTCCTGTTTTTGTAGTTGATATACAGAACTTCATCTGTTGAACAAAGATTGTATTTTGTAGTAATATTTCCCTTTTAATTCAAAAACTTTTATGTATGTATCAATATAATCTGTGCATAAACCAGGATCATTGTAAGGGATATTTTGTACTAGCCACGTAAATATGTTGTATAACACAATGTGATTCTCTGTGATAAAATAATTGATATTTATTATTGAGCTTTTTTATTTAATATACATATATTTTAATTTTTTTACAGCCCAGTTTTCGTTAGTAGTAACTGCTAAATTTCCCACGCCTATCTTTCTGAGGAGTCAATAAGATCTAACTGTGGGCCTAGTGTGGGTTCATTTCACATCTACTGCTCTGGTAGCTACTTGTGTCCAGACTTGTTAACAATAACTCCATTTGTTTTTTGACTTTAAAAATGAAGACATAAATATTATCAATAAGGTAATAATATAAGTTTATCTTCATAGTCCAGGTGATTACGTCAACAGACGGCTCTTCTACTGAAAGCATGGTTGCAAAGTTAATATTTCAACGGAGGAATGTTTTTCTCGATCAACACTAAGCACTAGCCATGGAGCAAATACAAAGAGATGTTGTAATTAGATTTTTCGAAAAAGAGTGTTATGATTTTCACCCATAGTTAAGTATTCTTAATATTATATTTTGAGAGAAAACGGAATGTATGGAATTTTATAAACAAATCAAAATATTTTTTTAAATTAGGCATCTGAATACGCGTCTAAAAGCCAACTTGAGAAAAATAATTAATAAAAAAATTAAACGAAAAATAACCAAACTTAAAATAACTCTCAAATACTCGTTACTCAACTACAACTCTTATAATAGGGCCTACCCGCTACACCTTTCTCCATCTACCAAATAATAAAAAAACTACTCGTAACTGTTGCTATGTAGGTTTTCTATCTCGAACTAGATCTAGGATGTAGGGGGACGTACTCAGAATTTATTTTCATCTTGATATTAAGATCGTCAGGACCTACTTAGGATCACAGTGCACAGTTGCTTATCCCTTCTCTTTGTATTTGCTCAGTTGCACTAGCGTTGTTGCAATAGATTGTTGACCTTGAAAAACAGTCTATAGTGCCAATAGGCTTATCGAAAATGTCGAATCGCTGTAATACTATCGATCGTATAACGTCAATAGTCGTATCATCGATCGTATAAGTCCTTTCGTCCGTCCGTCGCAAGTGTAAAGAGATAATTTTATATCAGTAGGCAATTGTACTCAAACACGAGATGTCAAAAATAACAATTTCTTAGAGAGGATCCGATATTAATTAGTTCAATCAGTTATTCATTATAGGTTTAGGTAATTATACTAATTTAATGACAGTACCGCCACTTTGGTTGGAATGATAATTACCATTTTACTGATACATTAAACATCACTCAGCGCTTATAATTTTGTTTTATTTATAATTTGTGAAAACCAGCTATGCTTTGTTGTCTCTTAGTTCAGTCACTAATAAAAGCAAGCAAGCAATTATCACATCACATCAACAGACTTTACTAGTCCACTGCTGGACCTAGGCCTCTCCTTGGAAAGGAAGTTCGGGCCTACTATACCACGCTGGCCAGATGGGTTGGTATAGCGTTTGTTTCAAGTTTTTGTTCTCTTTGCAGTGCTGTTGTCCGGTGTGGTTTGCTCCCTTAATCGGCTCTTACGACACCCACGGGCTGAATAGGGCTCGTGAAACTTCGTATTCTTAATCTGTCACCTCACGGAAAGCTATAGTATCGTTAAATGTTGGACTATCGATAGAACAAAACTATCGATGCCATCAACACACATTCTATCGATAGTGTCGATAGTACCAACACGCATCCTGTCCATAGTATCGATACTATTGATCTTCAGCAGTAAGTATTGCTTATTTTTATCAATTGATAATATGACTGATTTTCCGGGCCACAACAGAGTCACGATACTGTCGATACAATCGCAACAACACTAGCTTAGTTGGCACACTGCGACTTCAGCATGGGAGTAAGCAGTGAGACGGCAAATCTTGAAGGATTCTTCAAAGCTTAAATATCGATATAAATATTTGACAATATTTTTTTACAAAAAAGAACAATCACAAAAACTTGCAGGTTATTTTAACGTCCTTCGGATTCTATAGACTATGCTACAAGTAAACGAGAACATATATTTTTTTAAATATTCTCAAGAAGAATCATGTTTTTAAATTGCTTTAGTAGAAAAAAAGATTTCAAAGAGCAGCACGTCCTCTCCTCGGGCTTAAAATTTTTATTTCGGTTATGAGTCTTAAACCCAAAATGACAATCCACTTCCGCAGTAGTTTGCTTTACATCGCAATCAAGACTTCTAGTTGGTAGTATTTCAGTCAATACGTGGAAGCAATAGCTACCGTATGTGTAGGTACCTTTACTTGCGCTATTCCATGAAGCTGATGAAGGTTTGCAAAATAAAAAACACTTTACTTCAAAAGGAAAAAAAACCTGAGGTTTCTCCTGTTTAATTTACAGCAAATGGGATCTTTGTATGACGCTTGGCTAAAAACTATATTTAGGCATGGGAAAAAGCTAAATCCTCAGCGCTAATGCGTTTAGCACAATTACTACAAACGAAGACACTATTGTCAATCAAAGATATTGAAATTGTGTAGTAAATTAAGATCCGATTTTTCTGTTTGTTGATTGATTAATTCCTTTTAATTTCTATCTAAAATAAATGATTTATACCCCCGTATTTTAAAAAATTTTGGTGACTACTCATTTCTTGCATTTTTTTCATCCGATCTTAAAGTGGAATATCAAAACGGAATAATTAAAAATTTTAAATATAGAAACTTAAAACAATCCATGTAGCAAACTACTAACGCCATCTAACGATATGTTTTTGGATACTGAAAAATGCCCTCAAATTCATAATTAATTTTCAGTTATAATTTTTACAAATCAAAACATTTATAATTTATTTAAATTTTAATGCCGTAAAGTATTCTGAAAAAACAAAAATACAAAGCAATTTCAACTCATTGATATCTTAAACAAGCACAGCTGTTTAGCGTGTCGTCGCCATTTTTATTTGCTGTCTCTTTTTACATCGCGTCTTCCTGGCCTCCCTCTCCCCCTCCTTTCAACCAGTTTCGCTCGATTTTTGTGGCGTGTGGACGTCTTTGCGTGGCGCGGTTATAATTTGTTCGGTCTTATCCTTTGTCCAGGAAGAAGCTAAAGCTGAACATTCCACATCTTTATAACAAAAAAACTGAAACGCCCTACTCAACTTGAATGAGCTGGTGAAATCTACAGGTGTCCCAACGTTCCGTGTGTTGTTCAGTGATTCCTGCATAGTCAATCGAGCATGAATAATAAAGAAGTAATCGGTGATATTGTCGTGTGTCCACTGAAAGGCAAGGTTTGGTGATCAGGCGCAGTGTTGAGGTCGTGAGATTCACCGTGTGATGAGTCTGCGGTGACGGTTCGCCGCTGAGCGGTTGGATGGCGGCTGTAAGCGGCCCCGCGCGGCACTCTCGCGTTTCCATGAGTGTGTCCATGTCGCTGATGCAGGGGGGTGCGCAGAGCGCGCCGCAGGGCGCCATCCTGGCGGCAGCGGCGCCCTATTACCAGACGCCGGCCATCCCGACAGACGTTCAGCCCGACCGCCCTATCGGCTATGGCGCCTTCGGAGTTGTATGGTAAGTCAGTAAACTTGTTGTTGTTTATACTTTAAAGTTTAACTTCACAAAACTTTGTTACACATGTTGTGAATGTAGAATATAAAACTCAGTGGACTAGACTGTTATTTCATACATTTGCTATAAATCTAATGTTTTGGACATCTTAGAACATTAATTTGATTTATCTTGTGGTTGGTACTTTTTCTACCATTTAATAGGTACTATGCAGAAACTTGATAAATCAATTCTTATTAATTTGACATGGGGGAACTCTAGTTGGTTAGTAAAAAGAGGTTTTTATAAAAAAAAAAATACAAACCCAATTATCTCTATTTAATATTTTAACAACCTTTTGTCATATATTTTAAAAGAATTTAACATAAAATCATAAACAGATTTGTTCATGAAATGAAAAAATGGTGGGTTCATGTAAAAACCTAAAATATTAGATTTATTAGTATCTACTGAATAGATTTAAAAAAGAGGTAGTGAAGTAATTTATTCAAATTTACAATGCAGGTATGGAATTCTAAAAAAGTTTTACCACAACAGGGTAGTCTCATATAGTTACAATAAATTGTAAAGCTGCCGTTCTTATGAAATTAGGTATGACATAAGACTGTAAAGAGTTATGTATATTCATTACTTTTTCTAAGTTTTATATTATATTTAATTGCTAAGCCAATTAATAAAAGTAAGTTCTTTAGGAATAGTTAGGTAAGACATCATAACTCAATGTTTCAAACAAATTTATTCAGATTTTTATGTAAGTACTATTTGAAGATTTAATGAATATAAATTTAATATTAAATTTAAAAAAATTGTCTTTGAGAGTGGAATGTTTGACAGCTCTTTTTAAATGATTTATTCAAAAATTAGGTCTCCCTCTTGTAAAAAAAATAAAACAAAGAGTAAATACCTTCTTCTGAAGTGTAATAAAATTTTCCAAACCAAAAAGGAAGTTTGTATAATGTGAGAGAACAATCACAATGTAGCAGCTGCCATGTGTGTTGTGAACAATATTTTGCAATAACTAAAACCTTACATTGTAGTTCTTATCGAGTTCGATTTTACGACCTATTGCCGACTGTTCTCATATGCAAGAGTGTACACTGACAATCACATAAATTTAAGACTATGCAGCAAGTTTTAAATAATGCAAAATAACTGTAAGGCTCACTCAGTATTTTGTACCCATAAGCGCTGCAGCCCGTCGACCGTGATTCTGAACTTACGGTATTTCTTGCAATATCCGACAAAGTCCTTAAGTTCCAAAGTAATGTAACAAAGAATATGCCGTTATCGCAGGTACCGTGCAGTCGACACCTAAGTGACAGTAAACGCTTCGATAAGTAAAATGCGCTGAGCGGCTATCGAAAGCAGTATTAATTAAACTGCTCTCTAAGACTGCTATGTAATGAACATTCATTTTACAACCTCTGAACACGAGCACTCGTTAAACCGAGAGAAAGCAACAATTCCAGTTCAAAATTTTTAATTGTTACTCATCGGTATAGCTTATAGCGAAACCCAATTTGTTTTATACCGTTTTAGTGATATCTTACCAGTTTTAAGATCGAAATGGTAAGTTGATGACTAAAAAGTTTACAAGTTTAGGCAGTTCACCAGTTTAATCTGAAATCTGTACCAGTTGCCTTATGTAAACACGTGGTGTGTTTGTGCCGGCCGGCGACGTGCATTCGATTCACCGTGAACGACATAAGAGCGATTTTCAATATTCATGTTGCCCACAATCGAATGCTCTATAGCTTCTCCTTTCGTTTGAATCTATGCCCTAAAACTACTGCATTTAGTCTGCTTTTGAGTTGCTGTTGTTATCAAAGTGGAGGTAAAGAATGCGTGTTCGCTGCTGGTAAGCAAAATTCTGTCGTAGCTCTTACATCTAGAGTTGACTTTCTAAGTAGGTCTTCGAATCCTGACGTAGTACTGAGCTCGTGCATTGAGGGTAGCGGTTGTAAGTATAGGTGGATGCTTTGTGTCGACTCGGCGTGCGTAGGTAGGTCTCTTATGGCGCTTGGCGCGTCGATTGTGTGTGAACGACCGCTGCGAAGGGAGGCACGCCTGATTATTCCGAGACTGCGTCGATCGACACTTGAGAACCCTAAAATCCAGTCTTCTGTGTTTCTAACCTTCCCTCGTACACTCGCCAGTTCAAAGCATATACGGCCAACTTAACATTAACATTTAACTGACTTTTCTATCTTGAAATGAAACTAGCCTTCCGTTGATCATCACTGTTGAATTCCACATTGTAGTGAAAACAAAACCGTTTCACTTACTGCTCATCATACCATATAACAAGTACGTTTAATTATTTCTCATCGGCGACAAGGCGATGATAGTGCGCTGTCATAACAATCTCGTACCTAACCAAAACAGCTAACCGAGTTGAAAGTAATAAAATGTTTACCCTCAACGCAAATTATTACACCAGTACCAGTTTACACAGGTCACTTGTAGGATTGTAGGAACTTGTATTAACTTAGCACTAAGTTCAAAATTGCAAAATAATGGAATGCATACATAATCCTTCAGTAACATTTTCAACAACTAGTCGTTTCGGTATATTTAAAATAGTTTCTAACAAGTCTTCTTTTTAAGGCAGAATAGCACTCCCGTACACGATTCAGAAGTAATTTAATATCGACCGTAAATGAAAAAAATCTTTTGATTCTTTGATTACACGTAAACCATACCTGCATACTAATCGAGGACAGCGATTATATCAATACACGAGCCGATGAACTCGTAAATGGGCACGTTGCACAGGCACGGACGAGCTATGGGTCTCTTGAAGTAAATTAATTACCTACCACGAACGTGCGGGTTGATTGATCAAGCTGGAGCGGGAACCGCGCCTCGGGTCGCACCTACAGTCTCCACCCTGCTACCCATGTCTAATTGCTCCCAGCCTGTTGAAAAACTTGATTCAGTTGTCTTTATTGCAAACAGAATAAAGTTTTGTGAACGCTTTTTGTGGAACCCTTGATTAAAAATTACTCTCTTAAGTGTTATACAAGTTTTCTGTCGGTGATATGATAATACTTACGCACGCTAGTTTATTGTATGCCGTGATAGTTATTTCTACATCCTTTATGTTCATGCGATTTCGTCTTAAATTTAAATAATAAGTTATTTCATTCTTTGGTATAAAAAGGAACTTTTGTACGATCACAGCTTCTTAAAGGTTCGTTTACCTGCTCCCGATGAATGACAAATATGTTTTATTACCTGTGTAAATCAAAGCAAAATAAGTCGATCGTTAAGAGTTTGTTCTTGTCTCATAAAATATATTACAAAATAGATTGAAAAAGATTACCATGATGGTATGGTTGAATAAAATAGACTTATTTTATGTGCACAAGTTTAGTTTACTTGGTTTGTGAAAGCATGACAAAACGTTATGCTGAGCTGAATTGTGATAGGTAGTTTTTGCTGGTTTTGACATCTAAGATCCGTAGTTTCACTTAAGTCCAGTAGATTTGGACCATAGCTACGTGACGAGCTTTCAACCTATCTATTGGGTTGTTTGCTTATTTTAACCCGACTGCGAGAGAAGGGTTATGATTTTTAAGTGTATGAATATATATTTCTAATGTGTGTGTGTTGTGAATGATCTTTGATTTTGATCGTAAAACTCATTTACTAACGTTATCCCTGGGTCGAGTCTCCGATAATCACCCAGTAGATGAAATACAACGAAAGAATAGCTGAATACCAATTTTCTGTGATACCGTGGTATCAGACTTACCCATGCGGGTCGTAACATGCAGGACTCTCTTTGTGTCAGTTTAGTCAGTTTTAAATATGTATATAGGTAGATTTTTTTAATTGAAAAAAGAAAATTTGCGGTCAAATCCACCACTTATTTGATTTTGAAGGCAGACGGAAAATTTATTCATTTACCTACTTATACAATTTAGTCAAATTGTTATTGCAAAATAATATAGATTTTTCCTAAAGCGTAACAACATTACACACAATTTATTAACACACTTTAGTATAAAAACACCATGTAATATTGGAAGAAAAGAAGTAATATCTTCGGAAACATTTTGCCATGTACACAATGGAATCCATTTTTGTTAATCTCATTTCAACACGCCTGGCAATGAGATTGGTTACCTAATTGAATGAGCGTAGCAATATTACTTTACCTTTAGTGTTTTGGTATAAGGTACTAGGCAAGTACTTGTTGACCGGGTTCTGTGGAATACAGTATAAAAAACCATTACCTGAGTCTCCAATGTTATCTAAATTATTATCAAAGTTTGGACGTGATCTTACACGCAATTTGATGGTAATCGGTTAGCGGTATCAATGACATATCTTCGCACTTTGCCAACATTGTCCAAATTATGTCTTGAATCCGCACAAGTAGACCAACATCATTATAATAATGGCGCAGATTGAATATCATATTGTACAGGATAAAGAAACTATCAATTATAATAATAACTACAATTACTTTACACATCTCACACACGGCCGTCTGATACCAAATTAGGCAGAGCCTTTGCTGCATGAACGTACGTAACGTACAGTGTCGATAAACGTAGAAACATAAATATTATAGATAAATTACACCCAGACGCAGAACAAATGATGTGCTCATCACATAATTATCTATCCTGGGTGGGAATCGAACCGACGACCGCCGGCTTAGCAGTCAGGGTCAGTAGACCAACAGGCCAGTCGAGTCGAATTGAAGAGATAATGAAAATACAAATAAAATATAGTATGCAAGTCATTTGTCCGGCGATGTATCTAATAATATTGATTTGTTCTGCCATTTCTACTTATATGTTAAAGAAATTGGCATCACACATGTAACAGTGGTAAGTGGAGGAGATAACGGCGGCATTCGACTCGAGTACCGGCAGAGAACTGGCCTGGTTACGGTAACCAGGTCACGGGGAACTCACAGTTCGCGTACCGGCCATAGTGCGAGTATTATATGCCATGACTCCATGACATAATTTAATCAACTACTACTTAAAA